GGTTAAAAACAAACAAATTTTATATTACATGCTGCAGCCGTTTGGTCCCACTCTTTTGCTATAGAGGGTTGTAGAAATGGTCCGCAGATTTCAGACATTTTCGCTTCGAAAAAACAAACGACACCTAAGTAGATGTTAGGTCGTTCGCAAGACGAATCTCATTTTATAAACTTTTTAGGACCAATCTTATAGTGTTGTAAAAGAAAAAAAAAGTATTAACTATAGACAAAAAGACATATCATATTAAGTGGCAAAAAGAAGTTTAAGAAGGATGTTTCATTATAAATAGATGGTTCTTTCACACTTCCGAAAAAAAATAATATGACGTTTCGTTATAGATAGATGTTTTCTTTCACACTTATATACTATTAAATTTTTTTGATGTATGGTTTAAATCAACTTGCTCCAAATTTAACATTGTTTGGTAAAAAAATGATTTGAGCTCCACCTTTTCACAGTCAATTTTTTATACATGTTGAATCGATTATTTTTTCGGTTTAGTTGTTCGATTAAACTCGGTTTATGCCTTTAAGTTGTAATATATATATATATATATATATATATATATATATATATATATATATATATATATATATATATATATATATATATATATAAACTTAGTCGCATTATAAATTATATTTGTCTAATATATACGAACAAATTTTATACAACACGCCTGTAATTTTCCGCAAAATAGAATATAGGAAAAATGAATACTAATTTAATTAAGAGAAGATAACATTCTCTTATTATATACAAGATGAATGTCTGCGCGTTACGCATAAACACCTATATATACTTGAAGTCCTTACAAATATATGTTTTTTTTAATATAACACTAACGTTGTTGTTAAATTTGATATAATAATACGTATACTAAATTGATATAATATATTGATTATTTTGAATTATATGATAATATATATACATCTATTATAACTGCATAATCTCAATCGTTTTAATGACTTCTACTCGTGAGTTACACATGCATAAAATTAAATATAATATATGGTCTGATGTTATTTATAGTTGTTATTGTTAATTAATTTGTTCAAATTTATTTGCTTAATGTTTTAATTTCTATCATTATAATTATTAAAAACATCAAACATTGTTTTTTTATTTTAGAGGTAACAATATAATCATTTATATAAAGTTATTTATAACTATTCTTATTGTAAGTTATTTTAAACTACTTATTTGAAAACTTTTAACGATTATAAAAATATATTTAAGAAATATTTTAGTTAAATTGATATTACAATTTAGTTTTTGCATTTATCACTACAATTTATCACTTTTAACTATTTACAAAAATAATTTTTGATTTTTTAAGTGGAACTGAAATTTGTATTTAAGTTAACACTGTAATTAGGGGTGTGCGCGGTGAGGTTTGGTGCGGTTTAGAGTCAAAACCGCAAACCGTACTGCATATGCAATTTGAGTTATTTAGAAACCGCAAACTGTACCACGAACCTGCTAAACCGCATTATGCGGTGCGGTTTTGTGCGGACAGTTTATGCGGTTTACATGCGGTTTGACTAATTATTTACTTTAAATTTAATGACAATATTATCATTGTCGTCACTAACGGCTCACTAAATGGTAATTAAATATTTTGGTGGTCATATAATTATGGTCTTTAACTACTTATCATATATATAAGTTACGAAAACATAATGTCGATTAAAATAATGGTCGTTAAATGTCAGTTGAAAATGGATTTGTGACAAATACAAAAAATGGTAACTGCATTAAATTTTAGATTAATTAAATTTAAATAAATATTATTACATTTCAAAAACTTAAGATAATGCCACTAATTTATGATGAATTGAATTAATAAATGTTATACCTGTCAAAATATTTCCGTGTATATATATATATATATATATATATATATATATATATATATATATATATATATATATATATATATATATATATATATTAGGGGTGAGCAAACCCAAACAAAGAAACCGATGAAACCGAAACTGAAAAAACCGAAACCGAAGCAAAACCGACAGTTAGGGTTTGAATTTTTGAAAACCCGAAAAATCGGGTTCGGTTTCGGTTTTTACCCAAAAACCGACCCATCCAACCCAAGAAACTGACCTATAGTTAAAACCGACAAACGGTCCCAAGAAACCAACTCATCTAACCCGAGAAACCGTCTTATAGTTGATTATTTTTAGGTTGTAATAAACTATTTCGGACTTTGGTTGTAACTTAAAATAGACTATTTGTTGTAAGACTCATGCTTTTTGAAGTATTTAACTTAAATTTGGTGTTTTTTGAATTATTTAACTTGTTTCTTCATTTATGGAAAATTGGTTAAAACCCAAAACCCATGGGTTAAAAGCCAGAACCAATGAATGTATGGGTTGAACCCAAGAAACCGAAAACCCGCCCAAACCGACCTTAGAACCCAAGAAACCGAACCGACCAGAAACCGATCATATTGGGTTTTGAAAACAAGAAACCAACCATTTATGGGTTGGGTTGGGTTTGGGTCTAAAACCGACCCAAACCGACCCATGCACAACCCTAATATATATAACTGGTTTTATCAATGCGGTGTGGTTTAAACCGTAATTTTGTAATCGTAAACCACAAACCGCACCACATAATGCGGTTTAACAAAATACAAACCGCAAACCGCACCGCGAGTGTTTTAAACTACGTTATGTTGTGCGGTTTGGTGCGGTGCGGGCGGTTTATGCGTTTTATTACACACCCTAACTGTAATGTTATATTTAAATTAACAATTTAAGTATTTTGTTGAATATGTTCAAAAGTTGTAGCTTTAAACTGATAGTTTACATACAACAACATTTCATATCAAATAAATTAAGTATAATATGCTAAAAGTTAAAGACAAAACTTCATAAATAGAAGTAAATATATTATTTTAAAATTAAAATTTAGTTTATTTATGATTACACTGTAAATTTGGTATTTATTTAACCTTATTAACCAACTTATAATCATTATTAAAAAGACACTATAATTTATCACTTTTAACTATTTACAAAATATTATTTAGGTTGTTTAAGTTAAACTAAAATTTATATTTAAGTATTTTATATACATTGTTCCAAAATTGTATCTTTAAAATAATATGATTTACATCTAACAATATAATAAAACTAATAAATTAAGTATAATATGTTAAAAGTTAAAAAACATAACTTTATAAGTATATGTAAATATATTATTTAAAATTGAAATTTAGTTTTTTATAATTACACTTTAGGTTTGATATTTATTTAACCTTATTAACCGATGTGTATGAGCGCGAGATCATCGCTCGACATGGTGTTCCAGTCTCCATTGTATCTAATCGAGATGTTCGATTCACTTCACGATTTTTGGCAAAGGTTCTACAAGGAACTGGATACGAGATTACATTTTAGCACTACTTATCATCCGTAGATGGATGACTAGAACGAGTGGACCGTCCAAACGCTTGATGATATGTTGAGAGCCCATGTCATAGATTTCAGTGGGAGTTGGGACTCCTACCTTTACATGACCGAGTTTTCTTACAATAATAACTATCACTCTAGTATTGGTGTGCCACCTTTTGAACTTCTTTACGAGAGGAAGTTCCGTACACCAGTTTGTTAGGAGAGGTTGGTCACTGGGTTATGGGGAAGATTGAGGTAGTCATTCAGACGACCGAACTTATTCAACAGACCAGACATATGTTATAGACACGTTAGAGTCAACAAAATAGTTATATCGACAGGCGTCGATTTGAGTTGGAATTTCAGGTTGGCGATATGGTTTTACTGAAGGTATCACCATGGAAGGTTGTAATACTCTTTCGGAAGATGGGTAACCTGGTGCTCCGATTTATCGGGTCGTTTTGAGTGGTGAATGCAGGGTAGACATGGTAGCTTATCAACTGGATCTGTACTTGTGGGTTAAAAGTACCAATGCCGACCCACTAGGTTATGTATCCTAGTATATATGATGTTGATATGCCGTAGTGATCTGTGAGATATGCATGATTATTTGTCGTTGTTATATGATTTATCTGTTGCATATGTCAACATAATGCGATTTGGGTTGAGGTTTTACTGTTATGTGCGTAAGCCAACAGACCAAGGTATTCCAGTTCGATGATTGATTGGGGTGAGACAATCCAGTCCGATAATTGTGGACCTAACATGCATGATTATATATGTTCTGTTGTGTGGGGTATTTTGAGGGAACTCACTACGTATTGACTTACAGTTTGAATTTATGGTTTCAGGTACTTCAGAAGACAGAGAAAAGATGAAAGCTTGATCGTGCACATCATCCTGGATTTTATGTGTTTTTATGATTTTGGGATACCCTGATTCATGACAATGACTTTTGAGAACTTGTTTTGTAAAACTTATGGATATTTGGAATGATTTTAAAAATAAAAATTTTGCTTTGATTTTTAGGATGTTATAAGTTAATATCCTCTTATTAAGTGGGTGTTTGAGATTTAATTTAAAAACAACTTATTGATTTATTGACTTTTTGAAAAGTGAATAAGTTAAAAAAAATGTTTGGTAATATGAAAATGACTTTTAAAATAACTTTTCATCACCTTAAAAAAATTAGATTTCAATAAGTTAGAGTTTATAAATTTTCAAAACATCTTATGACTTATTAGGTTGTAAAAGACAAATACCTTTATAACATATATAAGTTAAGACAAATATTTTTTTTAAATAACAATTTATTGACTTATTGATTTTTCCAACCACAAAAACTAATCTAAACACTTTTTAAAAAACTATATTTTTTCATCACTATAAATCAATAAATCATAATAAATCATTTTACTTTTTGTGTTTCTCATATTCAAAATGAAATCCTAAACGTCCCTAAATAATGATAAATGTCAAAATGGGATGAAAAAAAAGAATTCATTACAAATGTCAATTATTAAGTATGTAGAAGGATCTTTTAGTTAACAATCAATAACTCAATAGCAACTATAATCGTGTGGAGTTTGGTAAATTCCGCTTGGGTTTGGTCTCTACAAGTACCCATTCAACCCCAAGGCTATTCTAGTAATTTCCCCACTAGAAGGAACTAGGTTCCGCTGCCTTTTAAGTCTAGGTTTTCACTCTCATCACTCTCACTCATCGTTTTGTGGTTTCCTGTGGAGAAGAGCAGCAGATACTCAACAGCTTGCAGGCTCCATTTTCTCATCGCCATCAGGTATCTGTAGGTGTCCTGAAATCTACGGTTAGGGTTTTGTTAGCACAGTAATTCATGGAAAATGTTGAAATCTCACTTGTTACCGTCGATTCAATCTTTATTTTTTAGGAAAAAACATCGGTTCACCATATCCTTATAATTGTTATGATGATTTTGATATCATCGATGAAGTTTTGTGTGTTATGTTTTCGTTGTAAGCTGGATGTTTCAGGATGCTTGATGATGTGTGCGAGAATTTCATTTTAGGGTTTAGGGTATATGTTTGCTTTCTTAAATAGCGTCTACATGTTAGCTCAGATAAAGAGTTACCTTGATGTTTATATGTTGGTTGCCACTCCGCTTCTTCATATCTGAAAACATTGCGATTAGACCCCCCTTAGGTTTGGATCTATGATTAGATGTAGATTGTGTAATTTTTCCCGTGAAAATTATTGGTAAGCTGTTGGATAAACATGTTTTTTTTTTTTTTTTTTTGCACCATGAAAGGCTTATTTATGATGTAACCCTGGTTCCAACTTGTTTGTGGGGTTAATTTGCTACTTTCGATGTCTATATGTAAAATATCAGTTGCCCTCTTTTAGGGTTTATGTTTAGGTGTCTTATTACCCCAACAACAAGCAATGGTGATGGGACTAGATCATTAGAGCGAGGCTAGATGTTCAGTTACTATATATATATATATATATATATATATATATATATATATAATATAATATAATGCCTTGTGTTGGTATATTGGTTTTTAATCTGTATTTTGTCTCCAACGTGTTAGCATCATACCAAGCAACATAAGAATGGCCACTTTGGCATAAAAAGATAGTGTCTTTATATACACTATATAAAATACTAAAATGAATTTGCAAAATCATATGTGAAGTTCTTTTGGGGTGCATGGGTTATTGCATGCGATGCCCTTTAATAGTTTTAATCTATCAATGGCTGTAAATTATTTGTCCATATTATGCTATAGTTGTCTTGTCTATTAAACCATTTTCTTTTTGAACATGTAATGCACAGAAAGAGTGGTTTTGTGGAATGCTGGGTTGATTGGTCCCAAATACAAAGAAGATGAGCAAGAAGAACCCATTTGTCTACTTGGATGTGTCTATAGATGGAGATCCTGTTGAAAGGATGGTTTTTGAGGTGTTTATTATAGCTTTAACTATCGAAGATCTTTCTTTTCTTTCTTTTATTCTGCCAGATGGCAGTGCCACATCACTTATTATAAAACTGAAAAACTAATTCCTTTTATATGGTTTTACAGCTATTCTCAGACACTGTTCCCAAGACTGCTGAGAACTTCCGGGCACTTTGTACTGGTAAAATGTTCATCATAATTGGCATTCTTTTTATCATAAGTTTATAAAACTGGATGCTTTTTTTTAACTTTCAGGAGAAAAAGGAAATAGTCAGAAAACCGGGAAACCCCTACACTACAAAGGATCTTTCTTTCATCGCATAATCAAAGGATCCATGGCTCAGGTATGTTTTCTATCAATTACTTCATGAATTATATTGCTTTTTTATTTTATTTTTTTATTTTCCACTTAGTTTTTTCTAGTTCTGGATGTCTTGGTGGTGGTCTGTCTTTTTAGTCGGCTATCCTTGTTTAATCTGTAGGATACAGGGTTGATGGTTCCAACTGCTTTTCTTGTGATGTAGTTTTTAAGGTTGTAATTATTTGGTTGTATTTGTAATATCCTCACATTCATTCTGAAACATATCATGCAGAATTTACAAATCCATCTTTCTGTAACGACTTCTGAATATAATTTCTATAAGTGAGTTAATTCTTGGTATTTTTTTTGCAGGGTGGAGATTTTTATAAACGTGACGGTATGTACATTTTGCCACCAGATTGTAATTTTTATTTATTTTTGAACATAAAATTCATATCTCATTGGTTTACTTTTGCAGGAAGTTATGGAGAAAGCATATATGGAGGGAAGTTTCCAGGTGAGAAAAGTCACTATGTTCATTACTTGTGTTTTCTGTTTGAATGTTGATGATCATAAATTCATAGTATGTCTTTAGGTAGTTGAGGATTTCATTTAATTTGTTTAAAAAGTGTATGCAAAAGAAATTGAAATAAACCTTTTAGCTTCTATCTCCCCAAAATTTCTATATATATTTATATTTTGAGAGAATGGGTTTCCTTTTTGAATTGCCTGTGAAGGTGGGGGCTGACATTGGTCTTATTCTCGGTGCATGGGAGCTCAACCCACAATGAAATGGGCAAATTGTAATTGTCTTGAAAAAATGGTGGGTGTATGAATATTTTGTGTGCCTTTCTTTCTAGGTTTGAAATCTTTGGTAAAATACAAATTACAAAGTATTTGGTTTGGATGATTTATGCAGCTAGTTAAGTCTAATGTATTATGTATGCTTTAAATTTAGGCCCAATACATTGTCATGAGTTTTTTATCTGGCTTTTTTTTCCATGTTAAGTTCCTGGCTACCTTATTATTATTATTATTATTATTTTGAATTGGTTATAATCAAAATTTGTTATATTTCAGATGAATCCTCCAAACTGAAACATGATGCTCCTGGCCTTCTAACAATGGCAATTGCTGATCGTGATTCACGTGGCTCTTTATTTAATGTGACATTTGGCGCTAATCGCCACCTGGATAGGTTTGCTTATCTCTTTAGTTACAATTTTATGTTGGACAAATTGATAGAAATAGCAACATGCTTTACTTTTGTTATGGTTACATTTTGCTATTATTGATAAAAAAAGTGTAAGTATGTTGCTATTATGGGTAAAAAATAAGTACACTGCATGTAGTGGTATTTCCTATACATTGTCGTTTTATATTCATCTGAAAAGTTATAGTTTTAGCAAAACATTAACTTTCTCACTTTTGATGGAAAAGGAAATTTAAGTGTTGGAAATGGAATTTCTTGAACAGGAAGTATGTTATTTTTGGAAAGCTTGTTCAAGGACTTGATGTATTGAGGAAGATGGAAAATGCGGGTGATGAAGATGGAACACCAACTGTGACAGTGAAGATCATTTATTGTGGGGAAGTAAACGAGAGTGAGAATCAAAGCTCTGGTATGGTGGATAATTATTGCATTTTTAATGACATAATTGTTTATTTATTTATTTTTTAATAAAGTCTCTGTTTTTGGTGTTTCAATAGATAAGAAGGTAGCGAGCAAGTTGAAAAGTGGGAAAGATGTTTCTTCAGAGGTTCACAGCCATGAAGTGAAGCGGAAGGGAAAGCACAAGAAATCTTCGAAAGATAAAAGGAAAAAAAGAAAAATATATTCTTCATCTGATTCAGACAGTTCATCTGACATGGAATCTGATTCATCTGATTCGGATAGTGATTCTGACTCTGATGATTCATCCTCATCATCATCTGATGTCAGCTCTTCAAGTGATGACAGGCGTAAGAGAAAAAAGAGATCCAGAAAGGATCGACACAAACGTGGCAAAAGAAAGGACAAAAAACGCGAGAAGAAGCGCAGGAGACGCGATAAGAAATCCAAACGTAAATCAAAGAGGTGGGTATGGTATTTTAATTTTAATTTAATTAAACCTTAAATAAAATAATGTTTTTTTATTTACAAAAATTCATCGTATCATTTTGTAGGGTGTCTGGTAGCGGAAGTGAGAGCTCAAGTGAAAGCGAACATGCATCTGAGGACAATAATGGTGATGTCAAAAAGCGAAACCGGAAACATAATAATAATAGTAATAATAATAATAATAATAATAAATCTCCTACAGCTGAATTTGAAGATGGTAAAACAGGAGATGCACTTGCATTTGATGGACATGTAAAGGAGGAAGAAGGTGAATACCCGAAAGAAAATGGTGGGGACCGCCCAAGCAACGGTGTTGACCTGGCAAAGGCTGATATAGTCGATGACCATCTCGGAAACTCTAGGTCCGAAGTTTAATCAAATTTAATAACACTTTATTATTATTATTAAATTCTTTCTAATCTTATTTTTTTTTTTTACTAAACAGAAGTAGAAGCAAAAGTCCTCCTCGAAGGGAATTGAGCAAGAGTATGAGTATTAGCCCAAGGAGGAGTCAAAGTGTTAGTGGGACCCCTCCTCCTAGACGGGCCCCATCACGTAGCCCGGTGAGAAGTGAAAGCAGCAGCAAGAGTCCTGTAAGAAGCATAAGCAGAAGTCCAGTGAGGGGCAAAAACGTCAGAAGCATAACTCCCTCACCATCACCTCCACGAAGGAGTGTTTCTAGAAGCCCACTGCGAACATCATCTAGAAAATCCTCACGAAAATCGGTAAGCAGAAGTCCTGTTAGATCTTCCAGAAGAAGCTACAGCAGAAGCCCAGTGAGATCTTCTAAAAGAAGCTTGAGCAGAAGCTCTGGTAGACCGCCTTTAAGAAGAAGCCCTAGCAGGAGTCCGGTCAGACCGCCTATGAGGGGTGGTCGCCGGAGCTATTCCAGGAGTCCGGTAGGTGGACGTAGGGCGGCCAGGTCACCGGAGAGAAGCTTGTCTAGAAGCGCTTCACCTGATGGCTCTCCCAAACGTATCAGAAGAGGACGCGGTTTCAGTAACCGATTTTCTTACGCGCGCCGATACCATTCTCCCGATCGCTCCCCGGTCAGATCTTATCGCCATAGCAGAAGCGACCGCGACCGTGACCGTGACCGGTAACAAACTAACAACTAACAATTTTAAATTCAATTTTTTAATATATTTAATATAAAAAACAATTAAACCAATATTTTGGTTTGTAGTTATTCAAGCTATAGAAGGCGCAGCCCACTGAGAGACAGAAGTCCACCAAGGTATTTTGGAGTAATAATGGAATCTTTTTTTTTTTTTGGTGAGAAAGTGATTATTTGATTGTTAAATTCAATTATTTACACAGGTACAGAGGGAGAAGAAGCAGGACACGGAGTCCGAGTGTGTCCCGGAGTCCTGTCCCTGTGCGGTACCGGCGGCGCTACAGTCGGAGCCGGTCGCCGGTGGAGACATCGCGGTACAGGCCATCACCGCCAGTGGAGAGGAGGAGGGCGCCACGAAGCAGGACCCCACATTCTCAAAGTAGGAGCCCGTATGAACGTAGGTCCTCACCATCACCATCTCCGAGAAGGAGCGTGAAGTCAAAGTCAAAGTCAAAATCGGCATCGAGATCAAGGTCAATGTCAAGGTCAAGATCTAGGTCGTCTTCTGGAAGCCCACCTGGGAAGAAAGGACTAGTGTCGTATGGAGATGGTTCTCCAGACAGTCAGAAGTGAGAAGAGAAGATTTACTTTTGAGAGAGGGGAGTTTGAGGTTATGTGGAGAAATGATTTATAGACTTGGTAATTGGTACACTATGTAGGGTGGGTGTGTTTTGAATAATTCGACTATTTCTCTTGTATTTCTTGTTCTGTGGAGTGACTGTTGAGGTGCTGCTAGACTAGTAACGATGATTGGATATGTGTTTGTTTTTAAGAGGTTGGTTAGACCGAGGGGAATGGGATTATCAATTATGTTTGTTTTAAAAAGCCTCTTCTGTTTTTATCTTTATTGTTATGGTTTGCTCTTTGATCAATGCGACTTGAAGGTAGTTTGTGCTTAATATATATTAACATAATCTTGTGTGCTTGAACTGATACATTATATAATCTTTTCAAACAAATTAAAAGGAGGGTCAGCAAGAAGTATTGAATTATTGAATAATTTTTTTTCTTTCATTTGAAACGGCAAACGAGAAATATATATATATATATATATATATATATATATATATATATATATATATATATATATATATATATAAAGAAAACAACAAAGCACACCAAACAAGGAGCTAGGAGTAAAAGTACAAAACAGGAGACAGGAGCAAAAACTAAATGAAAGTTGCAATGACTTGAACGGGAGGATATTTCAATCCGTTCAATTTAGATCTTTTTTACCACCTCTATGTTTAACCCAAAGAAATGTTGTTGATTTGACAATGTCCGCTACTTTTGTAGCACATAACCGTTTATTAGCAAATATTCGTTCGTTTCTTGTCTTCCATATACTCCATAAGGTCGCGTAATAAATGCTCATTAGCCTTTTCTTCTTCTTGGGACAGGTTCCCCAATTGGAAGCATAAACGAGAACGTTGTGCACCGTTTGGAAGCTTATTAATGGAATATTACACCAATTGAAAATCCATTCTGTGACAGTTTTAGCAAAAACACATTGCACTAGGATGTGATCAGCTGCTTCTTCCATTGAGTTACATTGACAGCAGGTGGTGGTTGGTAAGTTTATGCCCCTACTCAATAGTGCTATCGCTATGGATATATGACCCCGTTCGCCCTCCAGATAAAGCATGAGACCTTTAGAGGTATCTCTTTTATCCAAATGAAGTTGTCAGTATCTACATGTGCATTATCTTCTAGGATGTGGTGAAGAGCACTAACCTTGTATTTTCCATCCCCAGTAATTTCTCACTTCCATGAAATGCTGTTTCTTCCCTGATGCTTTTTGATAATATTATCGTGTGGAATGCCCCTCTTTTCTAGTTCACGTTTGATTCCTGCTATATTGCTCCATACCCCGGTCATTGACTTCATAGAGTAATAATCATCCCCTTTATTATGCAGTTTGTGAACCCCTGTAATGACTTTTGCCCATAATATGAATGATTCCGACCTTTGACGCCACAACCATTTCACCAGAAGTGAGATGTTTATGGATTTTAAGGAACCAACTCCTAGTCCTCCCTTATCTTTGTCCACAATAACCTTCTCCCATGATATCCAATGTATCGTCTTTTTGTCCTTTGACCTGCCCAGAGAAATCTCCTTCTGATTTTTTCCAATTTAATCCAAAACGCCATTGGGTGCAGCAAATACAGACATATAGTAGTTCGGTAAGTTACCTAGTACTGATTTGACTAGTGTCAGTCGTCCACCAAACGACGATGTCTTCGATTTCCAAGCTGAGAGTTTTTTCTTGAATCTTTCAATTATGGGAGTCCAATGTTTTGTGAGCTTCATGTTGGCTCCCACTAGGACACCAAGATATGTGAAAGGTAACATGGCGGGTTTGTGTCAAACCCCCAAACCTGAACGGCGGAAACGTTCGGGGGCGGATGACTTCATGTGGTAACGTAACAATTGAATACATAGTAAAGAAAGCTACATAACCATCATATATATAATTGAAAGTTTACATTGTTTAAAAGGTACACGTTCAAAACCAATTACAATATGATGCCAAAATATGAATTTAAACTAGCGCAGTAGCGTCCCTTCTTCAAAAGCTGTTTGTTATCTGCAATTACTGAATTCCTGGGACATACAAGTAGTTTTGAAAGAGTAGATCAGCATATAAGCTGGTGAGTTTCATAAGTATTAAATGCCAATATTTGCATGAACTAAAACGAAATGGTTTGTTTTTGTTTGTTGATTCCTAGAAAATCCCATATTCTCTATTGGTATAAATGTAGCCTTCTATCAAGACCAATGTTTGTTTCTAGAAAATTTATGTTTTTCCGTATGTGGGTAGTGGTTTAGAAGTTCCAAAATTGTATCACGATAAGGTTTTTCATGCCTTAAGTAGTTAATTAATGTACGTATAAAATTGCCAATACGTCTGAAAACCCCCGTAAATCAATGTGTTTTTGATACTCCATGTGAGTTATATAACCATGCTATTTGACTAGAAATGCCTATATACAACGTTCTTCAGGCGTTGAAATGTTATGATATTTGTCACCCCAAATGGTGTACTGTAGCTAACAGTCAGGGTGCGGGGTTGTCAATCCCGTATAGATCTATACACAAACACCATTTTCCCCCTCCAAGGGATTCTGGTATATAATACAGGACTTGAAATGTGTACTCGAGCGTACGTGAAGTTTAATGTCTCACAAAATTTAGTATAAAACAGATTTACGTGTGAAAATGTTCGTTCGTTCTTGTATATGAAAGTAACTTCTTGAAATAGTATTTCTAGTATGTAAAAGTTCGTAATGTTCTCGTAAAACTATACCTATTATAGTTTTCTAAAAGTGTATTTCGTTTGTATAGTAATCCCTAATGAAATGCTCACTTGTTATGAAAAGTATAATTTTTGTAGTGCCAAAGATGGACACATATACATATAGTATAAGCAGAGCGTTTGATTTACATATATACATAAATCATTTCTTATTTCAAAGATAAGATGTTATCGTGGTATATTTTGCATACGAAAGATTTCCCTATAATAGTTATAAATCACATATGATTCCATTGATAAAAATATGTATAATGAAACTTTATATAACACACGGTAATAATCGTGTGCTTTACTTGTATTCCCCCCCTTAAAAGCATATAAAAGCATTTATAAAACATTTAAAGTGTGGATAGGGGTATGAACTCACTTGAAAGATCGAAGAAGGCGAGATGAAAACCGAGCATAATTTTGACTCGAGAAAGTGGATTTTCTCGGGATTCTCGGGAATCTCGGGAGCACAAATGACCTTCGGGACATGAGCAAGGAAACCGGGGCTTCAGGATAGCACGTGCACAGAAAACGAGGCAAAAACGCAAGAAAGTTGAGAGAAATTGAGCCCTTTCTTCGGAACCCTCACATCCCTTTTATAGGGGGTGGGAACCGCCTCGGTACGCTGGGCGTATGCGTGCGTCATGCGTGACCGCTTCCTCGACTGCCTCAGACCTTCGGATGGGACGAGGCATAGCCTCGCATAGGGGCGACGTGGACGATCTGAGGCCTAGGCCTCGAGTACGCTGGGCGTACGAGTGTACGCTGGGCGTAACTCGGATCGGCCTGGTGACTCACCCTTCGGATAATACTGAAATTAAATATAAAATATATATTTTTATTATTTAATAACTTCAAAAATTCATATATTCTTCATACGAACTCCGTTTTCGACGTTCTTTATATCCAGGCGTAGGTGAGACTACGCTCTACAACTTTTGTTTAGATTCCGTCGGTAAATTTTGAAATTATTTTTATTATTTATTTTTAAAAGGTTGCGAAAAGAAAATTTCGTTAGAAATTCATAACTTCATTATCTGACGTCTGTTTTTGCCAGATTTTTTACCGTTGAAAAACCATTATCGAGACCTTCGATTCTCATTTAGGTCATTCCGACCAAAAGTCGCTCGATCTCCGTTTCGAGTTTTTAGTTGTCCGTTGCTAAGCCGAATTTGGAAAATTCATAACTTTCTTATACGAAATCAGATTTGAGCGTTCTTTTTACGTACGATCACAGTTTAATGACATCTAACATCGTAGGTAATTAATTAGAGACTTTTGGACAATTTACTTTCGAAGTTAATTTCATTATAACAAAAGTGGTTAGAATAGTTGACTTTTTAGGTCGTTACATAGAGTTGAAATATCGGGTTGTCACAGTTTGCACCCAAGGAGGCGGGAGCAACGGGTAACTTCTTGTATATCTGAACCAACTCCATAGACTTTGGACTTGTTAAATTTGACTTTAAGTCCCAAAGCCACTTGAAAGCAACGAAGGATTCGTGATAAATTTTTGATGTTATTTTTTTGACCATTCCCCCACAAATAAAGCGTCATCAACATATAGAAGATGTGAAATTAAAGGTTCTCCATGTGGTAATTGCAGGCCTTGAAAGACCCCCACTTCACATGCGGCCTCTATTGCAACACTAAGTCCTTCCATGACAACGATAAAAAGGAAAGGGGAGAGGGGATCCCCCTGTCGGACACCTTTCGAGGTATTGAATTTATCAGTTGGATTCCTGTTGATTAAAATTGATGCATGAGTCGATTGTAGACAACCCATCATCCATAAACACCATTTTTCACCAAAGCCCATTTGCGATAGATTGCTGTCCAAATATTCCCAATTAATGGAATCAAATGCCTTGTCAAAGTCCATCTTGAAGAGTAGAATTTTCTTTTTTCTTTTTTTTGCCCAAGAGCACAACTCATTAACAACTAATGGTCCATCCGGTATACTTCTGCCCTCCACATATGTTGATTGCACTTCATTGATACAATGCCCCATTACTTTCTTGATACGTAAAGAAAGAATTTTGGCTATAATTTTATAAATGGACCTAATGAGACTGATTGGGCGATAATTGTTTAGCTTGAGTGGATCTTTTATTTTGGGAATTAAGGAAATGAATGATGTAGAGCACGACTTATCAAGTCGTACATGCCGTTCAAAGTGTTTTACCACCGCTACAATTTTGCCTAGTAACACTACCCAGTAAATCTTAATGAACTTGAAAGTCATTCCATCTGAGCCTGACGATTTTTCATTGCCGCAAGCCCATACTGTGGCTTTTATTTCTTCTAGAGAGAATGAAACTTCTAAATTTAATCTATTAGATTCAGATAATCTTTTGAACACGGGGCTTCTGAATTTCGGTCTTTGTGGCTATTGTTCCTTGAACTTTTCTTGAAAGAAAAGTAAAGTTTCAACTTTTATTTTTTGGGGTCCGTGCACCACTCCTCATTTATCAGAAGACTATTTATGCGATTCCTTCGAGTATTACTGTTAGCGTAGCCATAAAAGAATCTCGTGTTTTCGTCTCCATCTATCACCCATTTGATTTTTGTTTAGCATCCATAACCGCTAGTTTTTCTTTTTCCGCAATTTCCTTGTATCCATTTCTTCTAGTTTCAATCTCCATTTCAGTTAACAATCTAGTTTCCGCCTCCTTATCTAGTCCGTTCACCAGCTTCTGAATTCTCAAAGTTTCATCTTCTCCTTTTTTAAGAGTCTAATGTGTATCAGCATTTCAACTCTTTTTTGGCGTGTTTGAATTTCGCAGCTAAGTATTGGTACGGGTTACCATAGTCTTTGAAGTTATTCCATGCCTTAATAAATGCATTCTCAAAGCCATCTCTTTAAGACCGGTAATAATTGCGACATATGTTGTATTGTATTTAGTTATTTACTATTTATTAACCGATAAATTTAGAATAAGTTGCCTAAAATTTAGGGAAAAATATGATTAATTACGTAAGTTCAGGGGGTATTTTGGTAATGCTTTGAAGTTGAGACTCACCGGATTACGGCAACAGCAGGCGACGTGTAGAAGAAGAATCTCGGAACCCTAGCAGAGATTTGTTTCCCAATCCTACGCCGCTACGGCCATTGCCGCTTTCTCCACGATGATAACAAAGAAACATCCGTCGCCGTTTCTCAATCCAACGGTAATATGATCTACTTGTTCGTTATTATTTGAAAATCTATTAAACACAAGATATAAGCTGAAACATTTTGATCGAAATAAGACAGTAACAAATAAATACTAAAAGCCAATCTCTTTTCTGTAGCTTGGTAACATTTGTATTACCAATAAATGAAGAATGTATTATTGATTGTACTAGGTTTTTTGATTGACAGGGTAACATTCATGATATTGATCGTAATGTTCTATGCAATGTGTTACTGTTACACATCAAACAATGCTCCAAAGCCTCCCAATATATGGCGAAGTTTACAAAGCAAAGGCATTGGAATCATCAAACAAGTATGTCTCTACCTTTTATAAGCTTCTTCATTTTCAGTAACATTATAGGAATTAGAGACACTCTTTGTCACTGCATTTGTGATGGCATTGGCAGCTGGTAAGCTTTGGGACACCATTTCTGAATGCATCTCCCAAATTCAATCTGATTATGATGATGAAGCTAAAGAGAGGGCACTTCAAACCCTAGTTTCCATCACAAAAGCAAGTCCTCCACACAGAAATTTAGTCATGCAGAATCAGGAAGCCATCCCTGCTCTCCTCACCCTGCTCAAATCTTCCTCCCGTACTCTTGAAAGACTCTCACTTTCCATCCTCTTCAACCTCTCATTAAACCCTAATCTCAAATCCACCCTTGCTGACATGGCAACCATTCAGCACCTCAATACTGTGATCCTGTCTCGTGGGTCGCTCGAGTCTAGCAAACTAGCAGCTTCTTTGATATGCAGCCTGGCAATGCTAGACAAGAATAAAGCAGTGTTTGGGGTAGCGAATACTATTCAAGCATTGTTGAAGGGAGTTTCAAGGCCTAATAGTCCTGTGACACATCACCTTCTCAGCTCACTTGCTGAATTGGTGCACTTCCATGGGAATTGCACATTGGCTGTTAGATCAGGTGCAGTTAGTGTTCTCCTGAGAATAGTTGAGAACAAAGACAGTGAAGATCTTAGTGGGACTGCTCTTAGTATTCTTGGGCTTCTTGCTAAGTTTGATGAAGGGCTAAAAGCTTTGACAAATACACCTAGTATTGTGAGTAGAATGCTCGATGTGTTGAAAGGTAGGTCCATGTTGAATAATGAAGGTGCAGCCGAGGTACTTCTTCGTGTTTTTGATGAGAGTGAAGAATGCTTGAGAGATGCTATGGGCTTGCCAGATTTCATGTATACATTAGCTGAGCTCTCGGTGAGAGGATCAACGAGAGCTCGGGAGAAAGCTTCTCTACTATTGAGAAAACTTGAGGCTAATGAATCATATGTAGATGATGATCTCGTGTTCTTGAAATGGTAAGGTAGGATGTGTGTCTTAAGAAAAGTAATATAATAAGAGCTTTTGCTTGTTTTGTAGCACATAGTACATACGTGTGCACATTATTAGGTCCTGTTTGAAGGTGTAGGCAATGAATAGGTGGGTTTGTTGTTAAAAAGGGAATGAAGTTTATAGGATTGAAGTTATGGCTTACAAAACTACCAACTACATAACAAATGAATTTAAGAATTACATGAAGCAATAAAGTTAAATATATAAAGAAAGCATAACTATCTTGCATCCAAATACAACAACAAATAAAACCAAATCCCATAATGTCTTGTGAGGTAAGGGGAGGTTAGATGTAGCTGGTCTTAGCAAATAAAAGCAATATACAATTAAATATACGAATATTAGAAATAGTACTAATTGTAAAAAATGAATTAAAATAAGACAGTAGATACTTAAATGCATAAAAGATTACACAAGTAACAAAACTTATGCTACCCCGCTACCCTAATTCTCTGTCTCCACTTCCACCTATATGAGGTCTGCTGAAAGTGCCAACTCCTTCATGTCTATCCTCACACTATCATCATGTTTCCTCCTCGGTCTACCTCTCCTCCACGCCTCATCGGCCATAACATAACAATCTCCACCCTTCTTATCGTAGATGTGACTCCCTGATCCTGCGAGTATCTTCATCTATCCTTGGTACACTTTTTTTTCAAATACATCTAGGATAATACCTTAGATTTCATCATGGTTTAACAAAATTACATAAGTGTAAGTGCATAAAATTACCGCTTATAATTCGTCCAAAATTTATGTTAAAACAATAACTACTTCATTTGGTCCCTACTTCTTTCCTGAGATACATACATGAATACATAAGCTTTAAGCTTAATGAGTATTATGGTTTTAATATTTAGTATAAACATTTAATGGAAAGATAACAATTAATATATTCTTTCATACTTGAAAATATTAATTTGAGATCTCATAGCTACATGTAAGTAGACCTAACTTCTAGGAGGTTTGCTAACCTTAGGATCCATATAAGGCTGTCTTATAAGGTCCGTTTGTAAGACAACCCTTCATACCATACCCCAGGTTACTTAGGAATTTAAATGGCCCCACTTAACATGAATCAAACTTTCATGCTAACTTCATAATATGTTGTTAAATTTCTTTGAAATATCATTTGAGCAAGTGAACATGGCAAGTAATTTAAATGCATAGAACATATACATAGCACGTATATATCCCATTAAATCACATAAATATATTCACCTCTCTTTGAGCTTTTAGACTTCTTAATCTTTTAAGTCACCGCTAAGCTTGATAGTATTTCTAACCTTAGTTACTTTGGGATGAAAAGAATGCTTAACTTCACTTGCTATGTATAGGCAAATTGTGTGCATTGTTTGCTTTTTCTTTAGGCTTAAAACATGGTACATTCATGAAAAGGTTACAACTAGTGTACTTGTACCCCAAGCCTCTAGCTCTTCCATGTCATCTTCTAACTTTGCTTAATCACTCAAAATCTAGGCAACACTTATCTCTACTTGTATAGGTTTGCTTGGTTACTACTTTTAGCCTTGATTTGTCATGCTAAGCTTTGGTTTACTTGTAGCTTGTGTTGTGGTACTTGTAAGCACTTTTGTAAGCATTTTGTAAGCATATGGTAAGCTATTTGTATGCTTGCTTGCTTACTTTCAACTTTTCTTTTTATATAAAATTTGTAACATTCTTCTGTAACAACTATTCTTAAAGTGTCTCTTTCAACAAAAAAAAGAGCTATTGTTAATGTGTCCTTTATGTCCTTTTACATTACAAGGGTGTTATGGTAGATGATTGCCGCCTCTTGATATGTCTAAACCGCCGCAATCTTTCTTCCTTCAAATTTTCGGTGGTTGACACAACTCCTAACTTATTTATGATTATAGCATTCAGTGTTTTCTCCAACATTGTTGTACAACATAACCACCGGAGGATCCTCATTTTAGAAATTTCCATCTTCCTCTCATGCTCTTTCTTTATCTGCTAGCATTTGAAGCAACTACCCCCCTGCATCCAAATGATGTCAATGGTTGTTTTAAAACAATTTTGGCTAAGGGTGCAGACTAGACAAAGCAAAGCAGGAGGAGAAATGAGATTAGGCAGGGTTTAACATGGACTAGGCTTACATAGACCACACTTTTATAATGTTAGATAGTACGTAGTTATTTATTTATGTATTATTTATTTATTTATTTATTTTTTATAATGAGTTCTTACGCATCTTTAGCGTGATAGTGCAATTATGAATATTTATAGTAGCTGAATAAATTTAGAAAACATGAAAGTGTTGTGGCAAAATCTAGAGATTTGAAAAATATGAACCTACATGTTTTAAACATGACACTTTAGTGTCTTGTTTAGGGACCTATTCCGTGTAAATGCATGTAATTATCACATGAAGTTTGCAAATTGAACTTATTTTACTAAATATTAGGTGTAGAATACCTAGGAAAGAAATTTAAAGCCCAAATTTGCTTGCTTTTTCTTTCGTTTCCTTTATCGTGACCTTTCCCTTTTATTGTGCCCTCGCCAATCGACATAGCCACATAGGACATCACCGAGTGCTGCGTCTGCTATCGTATCTTTCGATTGCACCTTAGCTACACCCAAAACAACAAGAATTTGTTTATCGCATTGATATTAAGGTATCTTTTTGGAGTACTTAACCTTTAGATCTAGGTTGATTCCACATCGATTATTCCAAAATTTTACTTGTAATGCTTTAGTTAGGTAAATTATTTTGCAATTGGAAAGATCAAAGAACCGACTAGGGTTGTTTGGATTAAATGTTTATGTGCTTCCGATTACGCTATCAAGATTTCTTTAGATTTTTGTTAATAGAATTAATGTCAATGAACTTAACTTATATATGGGAACATCATAATTATGATTTCCATTTCATGTTAAACAATGCTAGGGCCTTATTAATGGGTTAATTCTTTAATTAAGGTAGTTATAAAATTACTTAGAAGTAGTGATGATAGTTTGTTAAGCTTTAGTGTCATGGATGGTGTCACTTAGATAATGAGAGACAGAGAAAGAGAAGAGAGAGAGAAGGGGGGGGGGGTGATCTTATGTGCCATCACTTGTACCCATCTAGTAGAATGACGAGGGAATCGAGTTCCATAAGTATTGACTAGTTCTTTTGTTTCATAGTGGATGATAGTGGATATTTTCCTATGATTTCCTTCTTTGTATCTTCAAATTAGCAAAGGGTTTGAAGGCATTTAGTTAGAACTCATTGCCTTATTGTGGTCTTAAACAATATGTCCATCTTTTTGCACATGTTAGGCTTTTTCCATAATCTAGTGGGAAATTGTGCTAGATATTTTGATATCCTCGTTTATATAAGGGACACATTTGAGAATATGAGCCATAAATTTTGGATATAATGATATTAACCACGTTGAGACATCTTTTTGGTTTTAAGATGAATTGTGGTTTTAGTCCCACCGTTATCCCTTTTTCTTTGGTTTTTCCTCTCATTTTTGAACCACTAGCTATAGTCGTAGTCAAATCTCATCTTTACCATTTTATATGGATCTTGTTGTTCAAACCTCACCTTTAATATCGCTATTTGGGGGTGTTTGGGTTTGCTTTTCAAACACCTATTGACTTATTGAAAAGCCAATCCAAAAACACTTTTTTATAAACTCCATTTGCCACCACCATAAATCAATAAGCACTTTTGCCCAACAACACTTTTGGAATTCAAAAAGCAATCCCAAACACCCCTTTGTTCGAACCATGTGTTTTCTTTTCACATTGGATCTTTAGTGTGATCATCCGCTCTTGGTTGAATTTTATGCAAAGAAATATTTTATAATGCTCATTTAAAAAAAAGAAAAAAAACTAATGTAATGTAATGTTTAGAAGAAGAAGAGGAAGAATGAGCATGGTGGGTGATTGGATTTGCGGGCCATGCAGTCACTTAAACTTTTACTGGAGAGAATCATGCAGGAGATGCAAAGAGCCACGACCCCAAGACATGAATGCAGCTGTTTTTAGTGCGGGCCCGAGGGTGTTTGCCTTTAGGCCCGGTGATTGGTTCTGTGATGTTGGGATTTGTCAGGCTCACAACTTTGCAAGCCGAAGGTTCTGTTTCAAATGTGGTGTCATTAAAAGCATACCATCTTTTGGTCCTACTCTAGGACTAGGATACTACCCTCCCCCTCCTCCTCCTTTCTTGAGTTTCAGTTTCATAAATCCCAGAATCAGTCAACGAGGCTGGAAGCCTGGCGACTGGTTTTGTGGCAGGTATCTATTTTCATAATTCTTTTTAATTAAGCTCATAATCATTATTCATTAATACTAGTTGATTCTCATTCATATGATATGATATAGGCCTCACTGTAATGCACACAACTATGCTTCCCGAATGATATGTTTCAAGTGCAAGTCTTCTAGGGAATTGGTTACCAATGCTTTTAACTGATTCCTTCCTTGCATTCTGGATTCTGGTAAAGATTTTTGTTTTTTTTTCTTATGAATGTGTGTCTGTGTGTGTGTGTAATTTATGTCATGTTTTTCAGGTCTTATGGTAGTGCTATCACCTCTGGTAGGAGAGAGGGAGAGTCAGAGTAGTTGTTTTTTCGTTCAGATCTTGTTTTATCTTATGTGTTTCTTTTTATTTCTTTTGGTTGCATTGCAATGGAGTTTGAATCTCGTATGAAGTTTAGATGAATTAATGAAGGATGTAACTGTAAGTGGTTTCTTCAGTTTGAATGTGATGATTATAGATGGATGGATGGATGGAGTTATAAGATTTTTGTGGCAATTTTGTTGATCATATATGTAGTTGTAAGAAAAGTTCATTCAACTGGGTTGTTGAGTTTCATACACACATTCATTTGCAAATGGTAATTTAACAATGATTTTTTTAATATAGCTGATTTTGGAAATTTTGGTTTTCAAAATGATTTATTTATTTATTTAATTTTATTAATGATTATTATTATTATTATTATTATTATTATTAT